CCTATACCATTTCAGACAAGTGACTGTCTATTCTCTTCTTAAAAATCTCCAGTGATGGAGCACCTACGATTTCTGGAGGCAAGCTGTTCCATTGGTTAATTGTCCTTACTGCTAGGAAGTTTCTCCTTAATTCCAGGTTGCTTCTCTCTTTGGACAGTTTCCAACCATTGTTTCTTGTCCTGCCCTCTGGTGCTTTGGAGAATAGCTTGACCCCCCTCTTCTTTGTGTCAGCCCCTCAAATACTGGAATACTGCTATCATGTCACCCCAGTTTCTTCTTTTCTTTAGACTAGCCAAACCCAAGTCCTGCAGCTGTTCTTCATATGTATGTATGTAATTCTTGCCTTTCTGTAAACATTAGAAGTTGTTTAGAAAAGCTACATGCACCTGATTCCCTCATACGTTTTTGGGGGGATGTTGGTGTGCGCATGTGAGCATTTCTGATGAGGCCAGACGAGTTTGGCATCTCATGTATTACCTTATGGCCAATACAATGATGCATCTCTTTAAAATTCAAACTTATTAAGAGGCAAAGAAAGAGATTCTGCAACAGATTAAATGCTTACAACTCAATTCTTTCTAGCCCATACAGTACACTCTCTTTTGATTTTTCTTTAAAAAATATTTTTATATAACTATAGGAGACAAAAAAGCATATATATATATATGCAAATGAAACAAGGCAAACACACAACAGGCAAGTAAGGCACACAGATGAATAACAGCAGATAGTTACAACAATATTAACAGCAAAAACAACAAATTAAATTCTGACCATATGGAATCATATTGTTGAGTCTTTCCTTTAGGCTGATAAAAAGCCAACTCAGACTGAAAGTTGACACATTTCATCAAGCCAAATTTTGGCATTTGCTGTACAAGTATCTTTTCAGGAACACACGGCCAACTCTTTAGCAACAATTCAGTGATTGTATGCCAGGAATTCTTCATGAGTAGATAAAGCCCGATTTATTTATTTTTTTAATGTATAAATTAGCAAAATATAAAACGTGCACCCGTGTGGTTTTTGCTTAATATCTACAGGTATATCTTGCAGGTATAAAATCACAAATTCCTGGAATCAGAGGGATTTTTTTTTTTTTTTTTAGCAAGAAACCACTTGGCACGTTTTCTCAAAAGTGGAATTCCAATTCCAATGCTAGGCACATATGCTTGATGGATGGCTCAGGACTCCCTCTATTTGTGCAGCCCAAAAAAATTACTTCTTCTGCATGATGAAGAAAGACATGGAAAACAGACTGAAAGCTCTACCAAGGATGTGAGGTTGGGATGCCAAACTAAAAGAACAGTGGATTTAAAAAAAAAAAAAAATCCATTGCCCCCAGTGTTTGTAGTTGAGCGAAGAGGTCATTTTGAAACCTACAACCGCCTCCTGTTTTACTCTATCTTTGCTCTACTTAGAGGCTGACTCAAAAGTCCAACTTTTGGGGTGGAGAGTGGAACCTGGGATAAGTAATTTGGGTCAAAAAACACATTTTAAAGATATTTAAAATGCACCTTGACTCAGATTATTCAGCCCCAAGGAAATCCTTCATATTTTTTACTAAGATCTTCATTGGGATAGCATGGTGCATCTGTAGAGGATTTCACATTTAATATCTGCTTTTTCTTTAAAATGTAACATTTAATGAGCATGAGTTGGCTTGTTCTTATTATATGCATTTATATGACTATTCTCCTTCATTCTGTTTGATTATATTGTTTTCTCCTATATTATTGCTTTAGTTACACAATGGCTTTAAGGTTTGTAATTATTGTATTGTACTTATTTTTTTTTAAGTACTATATCTGATCTCATCTCTTGCTATTCTGCTTCCTCTGTTCCCTAGTAATTTCAAATAATGGTTTAGAATAACATTTAGTGCATCCAGTGAAGTAGAGTGAGAGCCACAAATGTGGTGATAAATTTGTTTGTGGGGTCCTTGGTGCTCTCTGAGCTTGGTTGTTTGCTTGCAGACATTTTATCACCTGTCTAAGTAATGTCATCAGGGTGACGGAGGGTGTGGGGTTTTCTCCCCTGTTTATATACAGTAGCTTGCAGTGTGTGTTTTGGTGGGGATGTGGTTTTCTCCTTGTTAATTCCTGGATTAGGATATTGTTTTCTGCTGGATGGTTTGTCTGGTATTAATCCCTGCTTAGAGAGCAACAAGAATTGCACAGATCAAACCTGAGCTATATATATTCTCTTCCATTGAAATTTGTTTGTCTTTTAATATGCAAGATAACTCTTGGTCATTTTTAATGCAGCCGATTACCAAGATTTGTCCTCTAGAAGTGGGCATTTCTAATTACACAAATGTGACAAGGAAGAAGAGAAGATATAGATTTTTACTTTAAGGAGCAGACACATGACAGATGTCTGATCTCCTTCTAGTCCAACTTTTCAGGGGTCTAATCTGGCAGGCAGAGGAAACAAATTAGAGTCAGTCTTCCAGATATAAATATGCTGTTCTAAAGGAGAAAGAGAAAACATTTAAAGATGCTATGAGGTGTCGGTGAGGGAAATGTGTTTTTAAATTCAAGAGAGGCGTAAAATTAAAGCATAAGATTTTTTTCCTGACATTGTTGCTTGCTTTCCCTTGTCTCTCTTTCCTTTCCTTTAAATGTTGAAAGAAAGCTAAAAACAAACCCACGGGAAATTCAAAATAATAGTAGCATGCAGATGGACACACTTTTTCTACAGCCACTCATTGGTCAATGCCAAATAATTTTTTTCCTGTTTTATTCCCCCCCCCATTTTTTCAGCACATATTCACTTGTTTCTTAACAGCAGGTTTCTTTGTTCTGTCAAAGTCTTTAAGGAGATTTTCTTTTATGTTACATGAAATATGTCCTTAATCTTATTTTATAACACCAGCCTATGTGAGCAGGTAGCACTTCCTAAAACCATAGCAGAGAATATTAAATGTATCAGCTAATATTACAGATGTCAATGAAATTGAAACTGAATTCTGGAAGAATCAGGACAGGGATTCACTACAACAAGATGTGGTACCAGCTTGGGTACCACTTCAAAATTGGATCCAGTTAATTGAAATCCTGAGGAAGACTGGCTCTTAACATTGATGGCAATGAGACTACCTCTGAAGGCCATCTGCTGGGAGACTGGTGTACTTTCTTGGATAGTTGGTTGGCTATTGTGAAAACAGACTGCTGGACTTGATGGGACAGGCGTCTGATAAAGCAGGGTACTGCTTATGTTCTAAAAAAAAATCCTTTTTTGCTTTAAGTTTAAAATAAAAAATGTCCTTGTTGTTGTTAGTTGCAAAGTCATGTCCGACCCATCGTGACCCCATGGACAACGTTCCTCAAGGCCTTCGTGTCCTCTACCATCTTTTGGAGTCCATTTAAGCTCACTCCTACTGCTACAGTGACTCCATCCAGCCACCTCATTCTCTGTCATCCCCTTCTTCTCTTGCCCTCAATCTTTCCCAGCATTAGGCTCTTCTCCAGTGAGTCCTTGCTTCTCATTAGGTGGCTAAAGTACTTGAGTTTCAATTTCAGGATCTGGCCTTCTAAAGAGCAGTCGGGGTTGATCTCTTCTAAGACTGGCCAATTTGAACGCCTTGCAGTCCAAGGGACTCACAGGAGTCTTCTCCAGCATCATAGTTCAAAGGCCTCAAAACTTTGGCACTCAGCCTTTCTTATGGTCCAACTTTCACAGTCATACATTGCAACTGGAAAAACCATGGCCTTGACTATATGCACTTTTGTTGGCAGGGTGATGTCTCTGCTTTTTAGTATGCTGTCTAGATTTGCCATAGCAATTAATGTGACTCAAAAGAGTTTTAAACTGATGCAGAAATGGTTCTCAGCAGAAGGTAGAGACACAATAAAGAAGCTAGCATTAGATGTAGATCAGGGGTGTCAAACTCGCAACGTTATGTGACGTGTTGCGACATATCACATTTTTTCCCATTGCCAGCAATGGGGTGGGTGCCGTTTTGCCATGACGCATCCGGCCCACAGGCCAGCAGTTTGACACCCCCAATGTAGATAATGAATTCCAACTGGTTATTTGAAACTGATGTTATTTGAAACTGAAGAGAAAATATCTGTGCTGTGAACTCCGCATAGGCATCAGAAAGGGCATCCAGCCAATAAATGCTTAGCTTCATCCAGTCACTCCGACTCCAGCTCATATAAAGGAATCACAGGGTGATAAAAAAATGAAACGAATAGGCTTAGGTAGGATCATGGCCATTAGAAAAAGGCTACAAGGATACAACAAGTCAAATGAATTAACCAAGATGATAGAATCAGCTGAGAGACTGGTTGTTCTTGGCTGTGCTTTAAGAGAGTGGTCTTATTTATTTATTTAGCGTATGGCATATCATATGTGGAATAGCAATCTACATTAACATTTCACCTAGATTAGTAAAAGACATCAAAATATAAATGTTAAAAAGATCTATGTTCAAATACCAATATCTAGGCCATCTAACTACTGAAGCGCAGCATCGTTTATATGGGAAAAAAATCAGATAAGACTGAGTTTGGTCTTTATTGAGGAAATCTCAAGTCACTCAATATAAGCATGACTAAAACTGAGCCAAATTAATCCATTTAGTTTTAGGAGATAGCCAGATGTCACTATCCATCCATTTAGAGTTTGAAACTCTGACCACTATCCCTTGGATTCAGTTACTGCCTGGTGCAGCTGTGAGCCTTTGGCTAATAGGATATCTTCACTTGCATACAGGGATCCATGACTGCAACAGGAGAAGCAATCACTGGTTGTATTAACTGGGTGGTGTGTACCACCTTGGAGCAAGACAGAGTCCTGGCAGACCCATTCTTCTCCTCTAACATCAAAAGGAAAGCATCCTATGAAAGGGCCAAATACAGAAACAGCAGCAAGCTGGGCAGAGGAGAAAGGTTTATTGTATTTCTCCAAGTCATTTTCAAAGGCTACTCTACTTGCATTCTTTTATTGAAAAAATTATGCCATTTCTTTTAAAGAGTTTCCTCTTTTTTCAGATAACAGGACAGACAAGGAACATCTTAGAGGGGCAGCCAAAAGCAACTTCAGTAGTTATTCTTGTGGTAAGTGCATATATATATATTTTTCAGTAGCAAATCCAATTATGGTAACTATTTTGTGAATGGAGGAGACACTTGTATGGCAGATGCTTTGGAGGATATTTTGCAAAGACTTTTAGAATTCCAAATGGATTTTCTGGTCTAATATGGCTGACATTAGAAGAGAAAAGTGGCAGGTGGAACTCTGTTTCCATGCTGAATTTTGACCTGATTCTAACCCCTCCATGTTCCCTTTGTAGGTCTTCTAAGAGAACAACTTACAAGTATCTCTTCCCAGATAAGTCAATACTATGCATTCAATAAAAAAGGGATAGACGTGAGCAGATCAGAATTTGCAAACCATTCTTAATCTTAACCAACAATTTTATGCCTCTTAAGGCCCAGTTCCTAAGATACTTGTGCCTGTTTTTTAAAAAAAGAAAATCTAAAATAACACTTGATGCAGCATCTGGCTACTCAAGCAGCAGGTGATTAACCTGAGCTGAGAAGCAAGGGCAAAGTGAATAATAGCCTGGGAGACAAGCTTTGGAGAGAGAAGTGAATTGCTTTCATGTGGGCTACTTCAGGAGTGTATGAAAATGCTCCAAATCTCTGTTGCATAGTTGCATTCAACACATTTCACTAATCCTTTATTAAATTGCTGGTGGTCTTCTGAGTCACTGTCAGATCTGAAATATTGCCATGGAAAACTCTCTCTCTCTCTCTCTCTCTCTCTCTCTCTCTTTTCCTCTTCTTGATCTCAAAATTAGAAAACTCTTCTCTGATCTGAGCACTGCAGGATAAAACAACAAAACAGCATCCCTGTTTTTCAACTGCATAATTGACTCATAATGTTTCATTTTTACTTTGTAGTAATATTAGCTGGAATTGCTGCTTAGGATAAAAATGCATAAAATTATTTATAGTATGGAGAAAGTAGGAAGCTAGAACAGGCAGGGATGCAAATCTTTGTAGAGTGAAGTTAAGCAGTAGAATTTACTTCCTTTGGTTAGCAAAACTGTTTCAATTGACAGGGGCATATAGATTTTTAAATCATACCCTGCATTTGTTTGCATCTACATTCTGGATTAAATATAAAGCTCCATCTGTCTTGGCTCACAGCATATCAGTCTGAAGATCTGCTTAGCTAAACTCTAAATGCCACAGCTGGGCAAGCATGCTGGTAGCTGGGTAGCTGAGTTGGCTGTAGAAGAAATTGCTTATTGCTGCTATTGAGGCCATGTCTATTCTCCAGCATAGCACAGAAAAGCCACTGATCCTAAATGAGCATATGAAAGATGGTTCAAAAATGGAGTTCTGGTCCAAAGCTCCCAAAGTTAGCAATTAGCCCAGATTTTGGAGCTGGAATAAGTTATGTGAATATGGGCCAAACCAGATGATGTAGATCTCATGAATTTGTGTCCTGCATAATTTCCAGATCTGTTCCCGATGATTCTCTCAGAATTGGATATTCAAATGAATTTTGTGAGGATGTTCAACAGTCCTGGACTTCCAAAGTTTGTTTGTCAGTAATTATTTTGGCTATTTTATAAATGGCATGTGGGAAACACCTTGGGAGACTAAATGAAGAGGAACTGCCAAGGGAAACATTCAGTTAGGAGACAGTGTAGCCCACAGCTAGATAGCAAGTAGGATAAGAGGCTCAGAAAAGACCTTCCCTAGTTTCTGGAGCTAAAAAGGAGATAGTGGGGGGAGCGAATTGTACTTTCAGACTTACCAAGATTCTGTCAATGTAGTTTTACAATTAGAAGTAGAACCAGCTCATCTGGACATATTTTCTGATTTGCTCCGCAAGGCCAACATCAATCTTGCAAATCTGAATGGAATTCTACCTTCCTCCTCCTTTACAGTCTAAGGAACTAGGGAGGGTTTCTTCTGAAATTTCTGCCCCACCCACTATCAGTCTGTAGGCTACATTGTCTGTTACCGACCCTTCCTTGTCTCTCAAGATCTTTCCCTCATACTATTACAATATTTCTCTGTGCAGGGTTACATTTCATAAAACAACTAGCTATCTCCTTAGAGCTGTAATACATTTCTTTTGTTTTATGCAACTCCCCCCTCCATATATATGTTTTCTGAGGTTTTTGCGGGTGTTTGTATGGACTAAAATTGGAAGTGTCTTGCTGAAATTTTGACGAAGTCCCATTCGTCATCTTCAGGCTGGTGTTTTCAGCTTCGTGCTCCTAGAAGCACGAAGCCAAAAACACCAGCTTGAAGATGAAGAATGGAACTTTGTCAAAATGTCACCAAGACACTTCCAATTTTACGTGGGAGAAAACCCGAATAACCAAAGACCTACATACAAACACCCGCAAAAACCTCAGAAAACAAATATATATAATTAAATAGCTTCCCGAAGATGCACAAATTCTTCTCCATGGAGAATATGTGTTTTGGCTACTTAGATTCATTTGAACGTTTGTAAGTTGCCTAGGGTTGCTTCTTTGCATATAGGTTTGGTACATAAATAATAAAATAAGTAAATTTTGGTTTTGAGGACTCAGCCATTAAGGTTTGTAACATAATTAATAGCAATATATTTGACCCTTATGGATGATTAAGCAAATCATATTTAAACCAAACCATCTTAGGTGACCCTAAACTAATGTTTATCTATTCGAATAAAAAGTAAGGATAAAGGTTTCCACTGTCCAGTCATATCTGATTCTAGTGGGAAGTGCTCATACTATATATGCCAAAGGTGCATAGAATGCTGTATTCTTCTCACTGAAATGGTACCTATTTATCTACTTGCTTTTGCATGCTTTCAAACTGCTGGGTAGGCAGGAGCTGGAGCAAGGAACAGGAGTCACCCCATTGCATGATACTCTGGTCTTGAACCTGGGCTGTCAGCTTTCCAGCTGACAAGTTCAGCATCTTTAACTGCTGAGCCAATCGCACCCCATCTATCTAAATATCGGTATGGGGCTTGAATCCGAACAAATATATTCACTCATGGGTTCTACTGTGGCAAATAACATTTTCACTATTAAATTGTGTGAAAATATAAATTTCCCCCCTCCCCCAAAAAAGGTGGGAAGAATTAATCAGGATGGAACATACAACTTGATGAGCTAAGTTAGATGCATTCATTTGCAACTTGCAAACCATTAACCATGGTGACCCTTTCAATTAGACTTATGAAACTGCTCTCACACCTTGTTCGGGACCATATGTTCTTTAAAATAGATTCTGCAGGATGGTGTTAGGTCATTACGTCTGTATAGTAACACTCTTGTGAGATATACTTTTCTTAAAAAAAAATAAGAGGATCAATCATTCAATTATGCTTCTCCTCTCTGCCACAAATAAAGCTAAACTTCTACAGCTCAAGAAAAGGAAGGAAAATTTGGTTTATGGCTCACTCTGGTCTCCATTCACTGTGAAAGAACAATCTGTAATAAGTTTGGAGGTTGCACATGGAGGAGGAAACTGTCAAACCTGGGATTATATTTGGAATGACTTTCTAGTTCTAACCCTTTGCCAACTCGTCTCTGCACCATTACTCTTTTCATTCTGAGCATGGAAACAGTGATGGTGAGGAATCTGAAGCAACTGCCAGCATTGATTGATCATATCTGGGGTCAGAAACTGGGTAGGTGTTACTTGATGGGAGATCACTAGAAGGTCCTAGGAAAATTAAAATAAATCCAGGAAGAATATCAAAAATGCACTTCTCCTTTGCTCTACTATACAGCAGGTCTTGAGTATCTGTTGAAGACATGTCTTTCCTATCAGGTTCTTTCTTGATTTGTTGAGTTGCATGGATTAAACTCTGTGTACTGATTTTTCCTGGGTTTTACTGGCCATTTTGTTTTTTGCTTCATTGTATGATTTGGTGTAAGCTTTTTCTAACTCATTCTTTACATTCCTTAGTAATTGTTTTAATGCTCATAGAAAGTAATAGTATCGTTCCATGCAGCATTGGTTCAACCACACCTGGATTTCTGTGTTCAGGTCTGGTAGCCACAATATAAAAAGGAACTGGAAAGAGTGCAGAGAAGAGAACAAAGATGGTAAAGGGCTTCAAGGCTAAATCCTATGATGAGCAATAAAAGGAACCAGGCATGTTTAACTTAAAAAGAGAAGGTTAGCAGTCTCTTATGCTCCAAGTGGTGTGTGTTCCACCACTGGAGATTTTCAGAATACTGTACCACCATTTTTACAGAATAATATGAGGATATTGCACTCTCTAATCTGGTTGGATTAGAAGACCCCCAAATATCTTTTCCAAGTCTATGTTTCTATGATAAGGAGTTTAGAGAGATACACAATCAACTTCCAATACTCATGAAAACTTCCTGTTCCCCAACTGTATGTTGTTGTTGTTAATTGCAAAGTCGTGTCCGACCCATCGCGACCCCATGGACAATGTTCCTCCAGGTCTTCCTGTCCTCTACCATCTTCTGGAGTCCATTTAAGTTCACACCTACTGTTTCAGTGACTCCATCCAGCCATCTCATTCTCTGTCGTCCCCTTCTTCTATTGCCCTCAATCTTTCCCAGCATTAGGCCCTTCTCCAGTGAGTCCTTCCTTCTCATTAGGTGGCCAAAGTATTTGAGTTTCAACTTCAGGATCTGGCCTTCTAAAGAGCAGTCGGGGTTGATCTCTTCTAGGACTGACCGGTTTGAACGCCTTGCAGTCCAAGGGACTCGCAGGAGTCTTCTCCAGCACCATAGTTCAAAGGCCTCAATTCTTTGGCGCTCAGCCTTTCTTATGGTCCAACTTTCTTATCTGAGTATAGCATAAAATAAAATAATTCTAAAATCTGTTAAGAAGTTACATAGGTATGCTTTCTCCTGAGAGTGATATTTTATCTTGACGCATTTGACCTTGCAAATGTTTAGTGTGTCAGTCAAGAAAAATATTCTGTTTTCCTGCATGGTCATCCTTACTCAGCTCTACAGGCTTCCCATTTAAAAGGAGAAGGAGAAATTAAATAGAAAGCAAGAGAAGAGGAAGACTCAAAAGGAACAGAAAGGCTTAATTACATTTCCAGTTAGGTTAATATCTTTTAAAAGGTGATGCACGAGAAAACAAAGTCATGAATCCAACTTGCAAGATGTTTTTCTTTTTTTAAAAAAAAAACCCCTCCTTTTCCTGTTTTCACTACTTGTTCTTTGACCTTTGTGATTGTCTGCTGATTTATCAAAAGTACTAGATGGCTTTTTTTTTTCACACCAGTAGGTACCTTCTGAGAAAAAAGAAAA